GTTTAAATCAATTCAACTTAAATGTGACAATAAGAAATGACAAAATTCCATGTCCTCTTGTATTATTTTGCGAATCTTGTATTAATGTAGCATATATGTATGTTTGTGTCGTTAACTATCTTAATATTATGTGGTATACAAAGATATGTTGATAATGAATTTTACGATTTGATATATGCAAATAGAAAAATCTATAGTACATGAGATGTTTATGAGGTTGCTACCTAATAATTGGCATGCTGCTTTATTCATATTTTTGGTCAAATATGTGAAACATATTATGGTGGGTTCAATAATAATGTTGATGTGCTGCATGTAATATGTACTTGGTATTCAAATACTATTACTCCATGTTGTACAATTTTTAAAGTGCTTACCAAAGAGAGAGACCAGCATTATATAAGTAAAACTGATTTATAATGTGAACTTGCTGTTACAAATTGGGTCTCTTATTTTGTTTAGATATCCAACGATCTCTATATATTTGGAGACACTTGGAGGTAACACTTTTTCTCTAATAATGTTTTTAGGGGTTTTCTCTAATAATGTGGTGATTAATATGCACACTTAGTGTAGTGTGTGTGCTCGCGCGCCCTCGCCATTGGGCCTGAGATCATCGTTTTCTCGCTCCGTGGGTTCGCTCTAACATCAAGGAGCAACAAAACAAGATTGGTGTTGGCTATGATTACTCACACTCACTAAAGAAGACAACCGAGAGTAGAGACTCAAATTTCAAGCCATGTAGGAGAAGCTCAAAGGTGCAACTGCTTGGGACATTTTATGGAGGTATGTCTATATAGCACACCTTAGTTAGCGTCTAACTACAAAAGGTCGCCCAGTGGATGACCAACCTTGGTCATGCTCATGGTGTAGTTATTAGGAGACTTATTTCAATTTGTTTTCGAGAAAGATGTCCAGCTTCTTCATTCCAATCATCATGGGTCATTGCTTCTTCGTGTTTTAGGTTGTAATTTACATTGTTAGATATTAGATTGGTTCTTACATTCCATTGATAAGTGTGTGCTTGATATTAACTATTCATTGTATGTACCTAGTATTTTTTTTGAGACACTGTATATGAACCTACGAATAGTATTTATTGTATGTACATAAACGGGCCCCTATGTTTAATTACCAACCGTAGGCCTGATAACCATCTATTGATGTTTACCCCCATACTTCAACACATGACACCATGTTAAAAGCGGTCCCAAGATGTGCGGTCTAATTTAGGTGTGGCTGCACCATGGCTCCGTGCAAAATTTCCGACTTAGTGAAACTTGCGATGTGTTTTTTGGTGTATTGTAACAAGTTAGTGCTGGTGCTTGTAGTAGTCTCGAGGAATTACTCAAACAGAGTTACTATAATAGTAAACATTATGTGCTTAATTTCTTGTTCAAAAACTCAAAATGATTGATTCTTATTTAATGGAAGTTCTTGATCTTCATGTTCTATCGTAGTACAATCTCCGAGTGTGGCTTGGTGATGATTTTAACTGAAAATGGTTTAGGGCTCATCCAAGGCGAACAACAAGACATGGTAGCATTAGAAGATTGCAGAGTGTCAAGATGAGGAAATGAGTAGAGAGAGCCTAGCAAGAGAAGATCATGGAATCTTTCAAGACGATTTTGTCCTCATTCCTATTTCCAACTATGTTAGCACTATTCACAAGTAACTTCTCTTCGACAAACAAGCGAAACCTTTCTTGATTACATTGTTTACTCGG